TGGGGGCTGTTTCCCCCCATAGATCTGAACCACAGTGGGCTGAGAAGGGCCCCCCAAGGACCTTCACGCTCACCCATGTCCATGTGCCCAGTGGCACAAACTTCCCACGGCGGCTGGGTGAGCAACTGGGAACTCTTCACCAACCGCCATCTGCTGCACTGGACCCGGCGGCTCAGGGTGTGAGCCAAGGGAGGGAGCAGCAAGTTTTTTTTGGGGGGGGGGGGGGGAGTCGGCAGGGGCTGGTGCCTGGGGTGGGACAGGTGGCTCACTGACTGCTGGGAGGGCAGATGCCAGGTGTCAGGGTTGGGGTATGGCCAAGCTGATGGGGCAGTACCTGCCCGAGGTCCTGGAGAGACTGTGCCAGCCCAGCTGGCTGCCTTCCCGTAGCCTCGAGGAGCTGCACATGGCCGGGTCCTGGATTCGCTCTCCGAGCGCCCCTGGTGGGCCTCGGAACTGGCCCCTGGCCTCGGCATGGCAGGAGTCTTGGGGTGGTCTGAGGCCACTTCAGCCAGGGCACCTGCGGTGGCTCTCCCAGCTCCTCCCACCCTGCCCCCCAGGCTTGGCCTGTACCCCGCCTGGCACTGCCAACCCCATGGGGCCGATACTTCTTACACCCCCTTGATGCCCATGATAACCCTACTTAGCTTAGAGAGGGCATGACCAGGCCTCGCCAGGGGTGGCCCTGGTGGTCATCGGAGGGTGACTTTGCTTCCCCAGTGTCCTCTGGCTCCTGGCACGCTGCCACCTCTGAGACAATGCATGCCCTGCACACTCACAAACACACCACCTCACTGCCTTGACCACCTCCTGTGGCACCTAGGTCCCCGGGGAGGTCAGGACTGGGGTGCAGGGGCTGACCCAGAGCTGTGTGAGGACTGCCCAGGACAGGAGGTGGCCACAGGCCACCAGCTCAGCATCTACCACAGAAACGGCGACCAGAGATGGAGAGAGAGCCAGGACCTCAGCAGATTTGGGGCCGGAGCGGTGGGAGGACACCACCCCGGGCACACAGAGCGTCTTCCTGCCCCCTACCCACACCAAGGCAGTTGGCTCCCTCTGGAGTTCCAGAGCCCCAGCACAAGAAAGGTCTCCTCTTCCGCAGGGTACGGGGCCCCTAGCCTACTCCCCGCTGCTGCAGCTGCAGCTGCAGCTGCACTGGGTGAGTTGGGGGGCAGCCCTACGGAGATAGTCAGGTAAAGAGAAGGAAGCTGGGGGAGGGGTCCCCTGGGGAGAGCTGGGAGCTCCCAAGGCTAGGCTGCTGGGGCCCAAATGCACGATTTCCAGGGTGACCCTCTCACTGACAGCAGGCCAGGTGTGCCCTTCACAACCAGTAAAAACATCACATAGAGACAACCAGCCAGGCTTCCAGTAACTGAGTGGCACCCCGGTTCCTGGACCTGGGTGGAGGCCCTGGAGCTGGGGGCTCCCATGGGGACCCCTGCCCCACTCAGCCACCCCACGATTCTATCACAAGACACATGTTCCCTCAGGTGCCCAAATGGCCCCTTGATGACCTGAGGGTTGAGTGCGAAGTGTGAATGCAGAGGCACCTCAAGGACCACTGGCGACGCGGCCTTGATGTTTGTAGGGCAGCCATGGCCCTGGTGTTCTACCACCATGGGCTGGGGAAACTCCCGGAACAGTTGACCTGCTGCCACTCACCCCAGACGGGCAGGTTGAGCAAGTCCCCTGGAGAGCGTCGCCCTGCACAGCCTGCTGATGGGTGACGGGGGCTCAGCCCTGACCAGCTTAGCGCCCGCTCTCCCGAGAAAGCAGACCAGGTGGCTCACGGACAGAGACCCTCCATTACATGGTTAGGCAGAGGGAGGCTTCTGCTCCCAGCCTGCCCACCGGTCCTGCTTGGTCCTGATCCCACAGAGTTGGAGTCTCTGTGTCCCCTGCTTAGGCCTCGAGGGGCCGGGGCAGGGCCCATCTCGCGTGCCTGTGAAGTTGTGCAGAGCACCTGCTCTCCCCAAGATCTTGAACATGCCCAACGCACAGTGAGGCCCGCTCCGTGACCTGCTCTTCCTGCTGCTCCCTGCAGCCCTGCCTGGGTAGGAGCCGAGGGAGGACGACTGAAGGGCCGCGGAGCTCTCTCTGACCTCCCTCCTCTCCCCACTCCTGGCCCAGTGCGAGCCTCCTCATTAGCTGCTAATTGTGCTCCGTGCCGGGCCTCCCAGGGCCGTTGCCGGATCACACCTGTTGACAAGATGTGGCAGCCCCAGTGGGAAGGTGTCCAGTGTTGATTACGGTGCTAATGATGTGCTCATTGCCCTCAGTAATTCCCCAAATAAAACACTGTGTCTGGGATGCAAATCTTGCTTATAAAACCGGGGGCAAGTGGGGGTGGCAGACGGGGGTTAGAGGAAATGGTAGCTCAGGGTCAGGGCCAAATCGTCCAGAAGACCTGAGAGTAAAGGTCCCCTTGCTGTAGGAGACCCCTAGCTGGCCCCCCACACTAACAAACTAGCCCCTGCTTTACAAAAAAAAATGGGGGTGAGTTTTGAAAGGTGAGGGCCACTAGGGTGGGTAGGAGGCCAGCCCTGTACTCAGAGGGTTTCACCCGACTGTGTCCACACAGGCAGGAGCTCATGGACCCAGCCCCCTCCCCACTCCTCTCACCTGGCTGTGCCTGGGCCCCCAAACTTAATACAGGCAGTTCTCAGTAGCTGATCCCAAAGTGCTGGGGGCAGCAGAGGGAAACCCCCTCTCCCATGGTCCCAGTTGTGCCTGATGGGGGGCCTCTTGGTGGGTCCCGTGGGCCTCACCCTGGATGCACAGCCTTCCTCCTATAGGTCAGCCATGCAGAGCGGGGGAGGAGCAAACCCCACTCCGTCCAGTTTCTTTGGGGTCCTAGACCCCACAACACAGTAACATTGGAGACTGCAATAAGCGTTTTGAAATCCCATGTTTAGGAATCATTTGTTTTGGAAAATCCAAAATAGCCTTTACTTGTCCCCACCCTGGGTCATTTTACATCGGCTAGCTGCCCCAGAAAGGCACCTGCTAGCCCAGCCCTGGCTCTGCAGCACGGACAGGAGGACATGGCCCAGACTGTGTCCCCTCCATCCCACCAGCCCCCTGAGGGCCAGCCCAGCCCAGCTGGGCGGTGAGCTGCAATCTGGTGAGATGTATCCCATTATGTAGCTGTCCTCCAGCCCCTGAGGACCCCATAAAAACCTAGACATGTGGCTGTGGTGGGCTGAATGGTGCCCTCAAATATGTCCAACCAGAATCTATGAATGGGAGTTAATTTGGAAAAAAGTTTGTGTGGATGTAATTAAATTAAGAATCTCTAGATGAGGTCATCCGGATGAAGGTGGTCCCTAAATCCAATGGTCCTTGTAAGAGAAGACACACAGGAGTCGTATGACCGCGAAGGCAGAAACAAGAGCGACACTGCCCCAAGCCTAGGACCATCTGGAGCCTCCAGACGCCGGACACGGAGAAGGATCCTTCCCTGGAGCCTTTGGAGGGGGCACAGCTCTGCCCACACCATGATTTCAGACTGCTGGCCTCCAGAACAGAGAAAATTTCTGTTGTTTTAACACCCACCCTCCACCCCAGTTTGTGGTCCTTTGTTACAGCAGCTCCAGGACACTAACACAGGGCCAATCCCCTGGAGGGAGAAACTGACACCAACCCACAGGAGGGGTTAGGCAGCTCCATAGGCCTGGTGGAAACCACACTTGCGCCCACTCCATGGCAGCTGGTTGACTCTGGGCAAACCTGTGGGCACATGGGAGCAGAGGCCGGGCTCTGCACCTGTTCCTGCTCAGGGAAATGGGTGCCCACACACAGTCACAGCAGCTGCAAGGGCCAGCCGGCCGACCTGGCCACAGGAGCCATGGCCCTCCATGGGTCCTCAGCTGGCCCTTGAGTACGGACCCCCACCCAACGCGTGCAAACTCTGGTATTGCACATGGGAAACGCACGGTAAATACTCGCTAATGATGATGATGAAACAATTTGCAAAATGTGCGAGCAGGCACACAAGAGGCGAGGCATAATGTTGGCTCTAGAGCTTGGGGACCCAGTCAGGTAGGCACGCCTACAGGGATGGCTGGACCAACGGTTCGAGCCTGGACAGACCAAAATGTACTACTGCCTGGCCTCCTGGGACTACCTTGGGGCAGCCAAGTTGAGGGGCAGCCTCTAGCCCCTCGTTTTTTAAAATCCTCACCCAAAGATAAGTTTGTGTGTGTTTGTTTGTTTTTAAATATGTTTGTATTAATTTCAGAGAAGAAGGGAGAGGGAGAGATAAAAACACCAATGATGAGAGAGCATCATTGATCGGCTGCCTCCTGCACGCCCCCTACTGGGGATCAAGCCCGCAACCAGAATCAAACCTGGGACCCTTCAGTCCATAGGCAGACGTTCTATCCACTGAGCCAAACCGGCTAGTCCCCAAAGATACATTTTTATTGGTTCTTGGAGAAAGAGGAAGGGAGAGAGACAAGGAGAGAAACATCAATGTGAGAGAGAAACATTGATCAGTTGCCTCCCATATGCGCCCAGACTGGGGATGAAACCCACAACCTCAGCCAACTGAGCCACCCAACCAGGACTGGCCCCCTCATTTATTAAATAGTTTTACTGAGATATCAGTTCACATATTATAAAATTTGCCCATAAAAATTGAGATCTATCTTGCGTATCTACATGTCAAACTCCTCCCCTCCAGCGTTGGGGGAACTGTAACCTCCCGCCCCCAAATGGAGACAATCCTTTGCCCCACAGTCAAAGCCCAAGCCCCCTCCACTGTAAATCCTTCCCATCAGGCCAGTGTAACAGATCCTGGTCCTGCCCCCATCCCCAACAGCACTCGTTACCGTCACAAACTTTTTGCAAACCTACTCTGGGGCATTCCGGTGAAACTAAGTTTATTTTGGCTCCACCGGTTATAATAACTAGTGGGATCGTTCCGGTTCCGGGCATCACGCCTCAGACCTTGCTCAGGTACAGCCAGGACAGGGGACAGGTGTTGCTGGCAAGCCTACCTGGGGCAGCTGCTGGCAAATGTCCTCTCCTGGGGGCCAAAAGGAGTGGCTGCCGGGCTTGAAGAGGTCGCACCAGCAGGTGGTCTCGGCTCCCTGGATCGTGAAGTAAACCCACAGGCAGGTGCAGGAGTTACCAGGTAGTGGTTCACATCAGGGCAAGAACCCCAAGAAGCGCAGGCGCCCAGCCCGGGCGGGCCCCCCAGAAAGTCGGAATTACCATCAACACTCTGGGGCTGAGCCTGTTAGGGTCCGGGGACGGGCTCGACCACTGGAGTTTTCTGCAAAGCCCTAACAAAAAGTGACAATTAAATGTATAACTGGACCTGACCGGTTTGGCTCGGTGGATAGAGCATCGGCCTGCGGACTGAAGGGTCCCAGGTTCGATCCCAGTCAAGGGCATGTTTTTTTTAAATGTATAACTGTACTTGGCACGTTTAAGAATTGGGACCGACAGCAGCAGTCCTGTTTCGGGTTTTTATTACAGGCAAATGGAGTCTTCCCAGGCCGGTCTCCAAAAAGTAGGAGAGGTTGCGGAGGCCTCCCAGGAGCTCCGGGGCCGCCCAGACCCAAGGCCCTGCGCCGAGCAGCGGAGAGAGGGGGCCGCTCCCCGTCGCCGTCCCGTTCCTTTGCTTCGGGAACTGGCGCCCTGTGCGCAGGCGCCTCCGAGTTGTTGCGTTGCCGGCGAGGCTTTGGGCGGGGGCCCCGGGCCGCACCCCCGCGGGCAGGCGAGCCCCGGGGAGGGAGGGAGATGTCCTTCGTGCCCACGCGAATCCCTCCGCCCGTGCCCGGTGGGGAAGGTGCCGGCGAGAACTGGGCTCCTCCGGGACACCGAGGCCGCCATGCCGGGCCAGGCGCGCACGCGCCGCGCGAGCTGCTTTACGGCAGCGTGGCGGAACCTCCGCGCCGTTTGGGGACGCCCGCGCGCCGCGCCGGACGGCAGTACGACCGTCATGGCGTCGCCCTTCAGCGGGGCGCTGCAGCTGACGGACTTGGATGACTTCATAGGGCCGTCTCAGGTGGGCCGGCCGGGCGGGCGGGCGGAGGGGCCTGTCTCCTGTCTGTGTCGCCCCCTGGGAAATGGGATCGGGACCCCGGCACGTGCCCCGGGGGTCCGACGCCAGGGAGGGCGGTCCTCTCCGGATTACTCCGCCCCAGGCCGAGTCCGCGGGTTTGGGGGCCGGGACTCGCCGCCCTCACAGCCCAGAGAGACAAGCAGGAGCCAGTTATCGCGGTGCCCTCGGGGCGACCGGGTTAGGGGAGTGCGGGGTTTGCCAGCCCTTCCACATCCTCCCGTCCTTCACGGTTCGCTTTCACTGCCTGTCAGGGCGCCTGAGAGAACAGGGCTGGGAGGGCCCGGGGCATAGAAGCTGCGCCTGGGGCTTCACGGGCGGGTGTACGGAAGCCCGAGGGTGCCGGGCAGTTGCCTCCAGTCCCCCAGCGGGGAGCGGTGGGCTCAGGATTGGGTTGGGAAGACCCTGCCCAGCTTCTCTGCAAACAGGGGAGGCGTCCCACCCCAGTCGCCCGAGCAGGGGAGCTGGTCCGCTGGAGTCCCCCACGTGGCTGCCCAGTGGCTGTCAGGGTGCGTGGTCCCTGCGTTGCCCTCCCAGAGAGAGCTTGCCCCTAAAGGAGACCGGCAACTAGCTTAGGAAGGGGTGCTGTCCCTCTCTGGTGTACCTGCCCATCCATTGCCAGCAGCGGTGCAGGCCCGAGTCCCAGGAGGAGGAGGGGAACACCCCTAGGCAGGGGTGAGCCGGGACAGGCCTCCTGCCGGGTCTTCCTGGGGCTGGTCATGTTTGGGAAGACCATGGCCAGCGAGGCTCTCCTAGTGAAAGCTGGCAGATGGGAAGGTGGGGAGAGAAATGAGCTTTTTTCTCGGGCACTAGGCAGGGAGGTGAGTGCAGACAGAGCACTCCTGCCAAGTCCTAGGCTTCCTCTCAGCAGCCAGTGTAACACTGGCCCCTGGATCTGGGGGGTGGGAGGGCCATGCCTCCGGGTCACACTGAGAAGAGTAAAGGTCAGAGTTGGCAGTGTGTGCTGACAGGTTGGCATGCAGGCCCCGTTAGCACCAGCCTTACGTGGACTGTGACCTGCAGAGTGCCCCTCAGTGCCCACAGGCGTGAGAGCCCGTGCCCGGTGGGAGCGCCTGTGCACTCAGGCCTGGTTTGGGGTCTCTCCCTGGTGTAGGACTGCATCAAGCCCATGAAGGTAGATAAGAAGCTGGGCCGTGGCGTGGCCAAGATCCACATTGAAGATGACGGGACTTACTTCCAAGTGAGTCAGGTAAGTTCCAGCCCAGATGACCTGAAACCCATTTCACCATTCCATCCAGCCACAAGCGCCGTGACCAGGAGACCTCCCACTCCCGCCCGTCCGTTTTCCGGCTCAGATTCACTGACTGTCAGGGAGCCTGAGAGAACAGGAATGAATGGGAGGGGCCGGGACAGAGAAGCTGAATGTGGAGCGGGGTCTGTTCTGCAGCGGGGGTTCTGTTTGCAGGGGTGGTAGTTGCCATTTTCCCCTCTGTCTGTCTCTGTCTCTGAGTTCTAATTGCGTAAGATTTTCCTACTGAGACCCCTTGTTCTTAGTGAATACCTACTTCCTGTATAATTAACAATGACAAAATCCTGATCTAATGGTGTTAAAAGTCACCCTGCTGCTCTAGCCAGTGTGCTCAGTGGTTAGAGTGACAGCCGATGCACAGAAGGTCCCGGGTTCCATTCCGGGTGAAGGGCACATGATGTGCCTGGGTTGCAAGTTCCATCCCCTGCCTGGGTCTGGGCACGTGAGAGAGGCAACCAATTGATGTGTCTCTCACATCAATGGTTCTCTCTCCCTCCCTCCCTTCTACACTGTCTTAAAAAAATCAATGGAAAAAATATCGTCAGGTGATTAACAACATTTTGATTTTGATTAACAACAAAATTTCCACCCCGCCTATCTGCCATCTGAACTCTGTGCCATCCCGTGGACTATAGGCATCAGGGGTCCTGGGCCCAGGAACCCCTTCCGAGCAGGGGGAGGAGCCCCAAGGTAACTCCTGGTGGGGATGGACAGTGGATCAAGCCTTTACAGGGAAAAAGCTGGCTATTAACTTGGTGCAGGCGGGTGAACACCTCAGGGCTCCCACCTGTTGCAGCACAGGGGACTGGGTTCTTTTTAGGGAAAAGACACCTCAGGAGGGGTCCCCTGAATGAGGGGACCTCATTGAGGTGGGGGTGCCAGTGTGTCCTGCTGTCCAGAACAGCAGTGCTTGATGTGGAGGGAAGGTGGGAAGCTCATCAGCCTCCTGCTTGGTACTGCATTGCATCCCGGCCTTTAGGCTGATCTGACTCTAAAAGTACGTATTGAGCTCAAATTGTGGCTTTGTGCAAAGCGCAGGCCTAGTGAACTTAGCTGAGAGTTCCAGTCTCGGCCTCTGTGGCTCACCTGGCCTTGGTTCAGACCGTGCCTGCTTTTGCAAAAGGAGGGAAGGGGCGCAGCTGGGATAATCTGCATCTAAGAAGAGTCCCTGAGTTTCAGCCTGGATACTGGACTCGAATACCAGTTCTCTGCTTGGCAGTCTGATTTGTTGCTGTCCATTGTGTCTTTCTCAGCTCCAGGTGCTGGCACGGGCAGATATAGCCACTGCACAGGCCCCACAACTCCTCCCTCTGCCCTTTTTCCTTCCTCCTTCCTCCTCTCCCTGGCCATTCTCTTCCTCTTTCAGAGCCTGGCCTTTGGCTTTTTCCTGTCCTCATGGTCCCATGAATGCCTGGGGACCAGCAACCCCTCCGGGACCCCTGTGGAGAGCCTCCAGCCTCCAGCTGACTTTGTACCAGTCAGAATTCGATGGTGCTATTTAAATCTAGAATGAGTATAAGTACTCCTGTAATAAGTAACTTTTAAAAATTTAGTAGCACATAAAGCCAGCTATCTATCATGTTGGTTGTCAGTGGTGTGAGCAAGAGGATCAAGGTTTCCGGGAGGTCCCGCTATCCTCAGAGCTCTCTTTCCTCATTACCGGGTTCTTGTGCTTCCAGGACGGAGGGACACGGAAGCTGGAAAAAGCCAAAATCTCACTGGACGACTGTCTGGCATGCAGTGGCTGTGTCACCTCAGCAGAGACGGTGCTCATCACTCAGCAGAGCCATGAGGAGTTGCGGAAGATTCTAGATGCCAATAAGGTAAGTGGTGGACAGTCTTTGAGTCTCTGCTGTAACCCAACATCAGCCCCAGCATCCTTCATTCATGCTGTCAAGGACAGCTCCTCTCCTGGTACTGTTAGTCCTGCGTCTCCAGTGACCCCACCTTTTCAAGTCTACTCCGTGGGATCTCAAAGAATCCCTTGTCAGTATTTTGACAGTGAAGTGTCAGGCCTGAATTTGGGTTCTGTGTACATAAAACCGGCATGCCCTGATGAGCTGGGCCCTCTTGCCAGCTCAGTACACGGAATCAGTGTAAAACTCCAACGTGAATGGTGTGTCCTTCGCTTTGCAGACAGCAGCTCCTGGTCAGCAGAAGCTGGTTGTCATTTCAGTCTCACCCCAGTCCAGTGCATCGCTGGCCGCAAGATTTCAGTTGAATCCTACAGACACCGCCAAGAAGTTAACTGCATTCTTTAAAAAACTAGGTAGGTGAGGAACCTTGTGTGAGTGCTACAGTTTGGAACACAGGCATGGAGAGGGGGCTCTTCACGCCTCCAAATCACTGAACTTACATGTATCAGAAACTATTATGAGTTTGACTTTAACTTGAAGTTTTTGCTTGATGGTTGGAAGCAGTGCCATTTAAGAGGAAGCCGTCTGAATCCTGACTGCACTCTGCCAGATCTGAGATTCGCCCACTCGTATTGTTTCTGAATATCATTATAAGGCATATTTCCCAGGCCTGTTCTGGGTCTGGCTCAGATCGAATGGCTGACCTCTTTATATGCCAGGGGCAGGGAGGAGGTTGGGGTGAGCCTGGTGCAGGCTGATGTCCTAGGCCGGTGGTCGGCAAACTGCGGCTCGAGAGCCACAAGAGCCGCATGTGGCTCGTGAGCCGCCGTTTGCCTACCACTGCCCTAGGTGATGCTAAGTACAGATGAAGGAAGCCATTTGTCAAACGCAAGCTTCCCAGATAGCAGCACAGGCTGTCCGTCCACAGCACAGCATGTCCGGTGACACTGGAACTGTGCTTCCTGTGGCCACTGGGAGGCAGACCCCCTGCTTCTGGGGGCATGGTCAACAGCACCTCACACTTTGCCATCCCTCATGGGGCTCATGGTGCTCACCTTGCAGGGGCGCACTACGTGTTTGATACCGCCTTCTCGAGGAACTTCAGTCTCCTGGAGAGCCAGCGAGAGTTTGTGCAGCGATTCCGGGAACAGGCCAGCTCCAAGCAGACCTTGCCCATGCTGGCTTCTGCCTGCCCAGGTGTGCTCACACTGCTGACCAGATCAGCTGGATGTGGGTAGTGGGAATGCTGGAGGGGGGCGAGGGGTTCTGTCAGCCCAGAACGGCCTCTTTGGCAGGAGCTGCTCTGCTCTGAGAGTCATGTGTAGTCACTTCAGTTCCCCCAAGACAGTAATCACGTGGCTGCTAGAAATAGAGTGGGATGTTCTTTAATGGGATGGGACTCCTTGTACAAGTAGGTCCACCCCCAGAATGTCATGTCACAGCCCACAGTGAGAGGTGAGTTATGAGCCACCCCCATTTGTTCCAAAT